AAAACAGCATACCTCTGATAAGAGTTCCACGGGAAGCTGGTGACATGAATCCAAGAGCAGCAAACAAAATAGTCACGACAGCCATCCCGAGAATCTGAACTCCATCTCCAACAACAATACACAAAAGTCCAGGATTGCTTGGGGCACGGAAAACATCCCCCACAACAAGCTTCCACCCAGACAACTCCTCGTTCATCTGTGCTTGAGCCTCCTTGTCAAGCTCCTCATACCGAGTCAGATCCCGCCGAACAGTCCTCAAAAAGATCACAAGAACAATACCAGCAAGGAAAGTAATAACCATAAGAGAATTCAAGATCGAGAACCAATGGACCTTTGATCCCTCCATCTTCAAATAAGCATCCCAACGGGATGGCCACTTGATATCACTCATATCAAAGTTAACCTCATAAGTAAACACAATTGGTTGACCCTCCTTAATAGGCATAGACACAATGTTCGAATCACATTTAATCTGACTCGGGTACTTGCCATATATCTTCAAATCCTTCACCAAATCAACATTATGCATCACACTACACGGCACAACCTCAAATCCAACAACCATATAACCCGGCACATCAGATCCCTCACTCGCTTTCGTGGGAATCACATCAACCGCATCGCCAGTACCCATAACACGAGCAACATTAGTTTCCTCATACTTATGGACAAGAACCTTAAACTTCAAATGATTAAACACATAATACGCATCTTGATACTTAACCCCAACTGGAAACCCCGTCCACCTCAAAAGATAGCCATCCTTCTTGGTGTACCTTATCGCTGGCAAATTATCAAGGATCAAATTAACCTGATACATCTCATCAATCCTCTTCTTCAACAAATCGAAATTATCTTTCGATAACGGATCCGTTTTGCACAAAAAGATGTCACTTTCATTGGTGTACATCTTAAACCTATAGGGAGAATTCTCAATCCTATCACCCATCAAAAGCTCACCAAGATTCTCAGCACTATCTTTGACGCCCTCTTGAGGCTTACAAAAGGGCAAACTGTAATAACTAAAGGGCATTTCGGTGTCTATGGAAGTGATTGAATTAACTTTCACAGACAACGCATCACCGACAACGTATTTGTGAGGGTAGCTACCAGGCAAGTAAAACCCATAACAAAAGGATTGAAATACAAAGAAAAGAAAAAACACCCAGATGCTAAAATTGCGAGTTAAATCCATTTTCGATCAGTTTTGGATGAATTCTATTCAGATCTGTGAGACCCAGATCGTGAAATGAATGGAAAAGCAAAGATATGAAATAGTAAAAGCAATATACAATCAATAAATGACGAAATAAAGAAGGTTAGAGAGGGTTCTGGATCTGACTGACCTTCAAGAGAGAGAGAAAAGTGAGAGTCTCTGTGAAGGAGAGATTTGTATGAGGGTTTTATTGGTTGCTTAAAATAAATCATTTAATAGTAAACTTAATGTCATTGAGACACTGTTTGGCTGAGTTAACGAAAATTAGGTTAAGTCTCTCGCTTTAAAATAAACTATCTTTCATTAAATTTAAAGAATTTATTAAATTTAAATAATAAAAAAATAAAAAATATTTTTATTAAATTTAAAAAATTTATTAGATTTAAATAAAAATTATATTCTTTATATTTTAAAATTAATAAATATACTCTTTATTTATATGAAAAATATTCTTTAAAATGAAAAGCACTCTTGAAGATGCTCTAAAGAGTCATTTAGAGATGCTTTAAGTACATTTTATTATTAAAACGATTAAAAAAAATATTATATTATTTTTATCAATTAATAAATTATATGATGAAATTTTAAAATTAAATAAGGATAATGTGGTAATATACTTAGTCAAACTAGCTTATAAACAGAGTACTCATAAACTGTAAGCTTACAAAAAAAAAAAAAAAAAAAATTATAAACATATAAGTCACCTTAATTTTAGGATTTATATACTAGTTTAACTAGCTTATAAGCTCAAACAAACACCCTCTAAGACTAACTCGGTCTAACTCGACCCAGATCATATAAAATATAAACCATATCTAACATCTAGGTACTAAATTTTTTAATTTGATTATATAATAAGTTTTGAAATACTTTACCTTTGTGAGTGAAGGTATGTATAGGTTGTGGTGGTATATCTTCATCCAAATAATAATAATAATATTTCACATGTTGGTGGATCGACATGGTAGAAAAAGGTCCATTAATGTCTTAGGTCCATTAATGTCTTGGAATGTTACATTAAATCATATGTATAATATATAGAGTTGAGCTTTTTATATCATAGCTTAGATCTAACTCTACTTCATACTAGAACAAGAACTCATTTGAAACTAGAATCATATAACAAAGTTTTAAGTCATAGCACAATAAAATCAAGATCTAATTTCATCCCACATGCTTATTTTGCTTTCTAAATACATTTTTGACAAGTTTCACATGCTCCTGTGTTTTATATTTCTTGATATGTACAAAAATGTCTGAACAAAAAAGTTTTAAATAGATAAATATATCACATCATCTATAAATATGTTCCATAAAATATATATGAAATACGATTTTATTGAATAAACTTTTATGTTTCGAATGAATAATGTGATATGTATATTGTATCCAATACTATCTCGTAATTGAAAGAGGTGATATATTTGAAAGGCTTAAACTCACCAAGAGTTCAGTGAGAGAAAGAAGCAGTTTAACCACCACAATTTCATTATATTGTGATTGAATCTTGAAAGAGTGAAAGTTACGTTACATTTTCATGATGAAGAAAGCATACCAAAAGATAATAAAATATGGAAACTTCAACAGGAATTCCTGCGAATGGTCAATGTGAGTGATTCAATCACAAGCTTTTATCACATTTCTTGCCCTTTCGATCACATGGCCAAGCACTCAAAACCAGAGTTCCATTCAAATCCATCACAAGAAAGAAGCAACCAGAAAAAAAGAAAAAAAAAAGGAAAACGACCCTTTATATCAGATTTCTTGCCCTTTATATCACAAGGCTAAGGTTTGGCTATCTTTAACAACCAAATGACGGCCAGATCTTTAACCATAGATTGTCTTTTCCGACCAAGTCGACACACAATCGCCCAAATCTAGCTGATCCTGCGCCATTACAGCGACTTCCGGTCACCCTCCAACAGTGGTGACCGACTGTCGACATTTAATGAGTGAGTAGACGTGTTTTTATTAATTTTTAATGTTTTATTGTAGGAGGTATTTAATTAAATTAACAAACCTAAAGAGTTTAAAATAGTTGAATAGAATAAGATTGGATTTTGAGAATACTAAAACAAATATGTATTTTAAGTAGGATAGGATAGGAATAGGAAAACAAACATACCAAAAAATATTCTCTAAATTCAACAAGCATTCATAGCAACTATTAGCAAGTATTGAAAATGAGGTAATAACATTATCACTCAAAAAAATGTGAAACTTGTGAGGGAAGATACAGAAACCTTTCAAGAGCATTTTCATGGTTTGCAAGAACCCAATAACAAAATATTTAATGCATTGAAACTTGCCATTTGACTTGTGATAACTTGAACAAGCTAAAATATGATATTGCATGTTGAACAATGAGGAAACTTATGCATTAATACTAAGTTCTAATTTCATTACAAACACCACCCTGAACTAATGCAGTTGAAGGAAAGGAGGTAATAGTCTGTTAAATCTGGATGCAGATACACAAGAATAAGATATATCAGTGGAGACCACTCTAAGGGAAAAACCCTTCAATGGGATGGTACAGATGGCGTACATATGCCGTGTCATACACGTGCCTCGCACGTGTACAATCATTAGACGGCACACATGCATTTGTCCCACTAAAGAGTTTCTCCCTCTGAGGAACCTCATTCAGGTGGCCAGACTGGTTTAGGGTCTGGCCTGGGTTAAGATGTTTGCTTCAGCTTGTCTGAGAGAACTAAGCTTCAGCAGGGCCACTTCATAGCACATTGACTTTTGTCTCAAAAAGTGCTTGAGAAACATTTGACATACCAATGTCATTTATATGCTTTACTCAAATAACAAACAATAGACACTGAAAAGATGTGCTCCTTTCATTTTAGCCATAAAGATCAGAGTAATTAAGCACAGGGTACCTGTAATAACTCAAGGGCATTTTGGTGTCTATAGAAGTGATAAAATTAACTTTCATAGACAAGCTATCACCAACACCGAATTTGTGCAGGTAAGTACTAGATAAGTAAAACCCATAACAAGAAGATTGAAATGTCAATAAAACAAACAATACCAAGATGTTAAAATTGCAAGCCAAGTCCTTTTTTTTTTTTTTTATTGAAATTGTGTCAAATCTGGGAAACCCAGATCACGAAACGAATGAAAAAGTAAGAAACTATAGCGGTAAAAGCAATAGCTAAAAATAATGAAACAAAGAAGACAAGGGGATATGGATCTGAAAGGCCTTCAAGATGAAGTGAAGAGAGAGTTTGTAATTCATAAAGTTATATATGGTGGTAAATCTTTATGTAAATCTCATAAAAGGATCATTAATGTGTTGAATAACTCTTATTAGAGCTTAAATAGTGGAGAACATGGATAAGAAGTAAAATTACTATAATAATATCTCGATCTTGGTTCAATTGGATCACAAAGTTTTTTAATCTTCTTTGACCAATTGTGTCTTGGGATGTATTATTTAATTATATATAACATAGCTTAGTTTTTTATATCATAACTTACTTTAGCTTAGATCTAACTCTAGTTCACACTGGAACATAGTAAACTGATTAAACCTAAAGTCATAAGTCAGAACAAAGTTAATTTACAGCACGATATATCAAGTTGTCATTCGATCCCACATGTTTCTACTAAATATAATTTGACAGCTATCATGTACCTCTACACCCCATACTCCTCAATATATACAAAAAAGTCAAATGAAAAATAAATATATAAATAAAGTCAGAATAAACATGCATACCACAAACACAATCAATAAAATATATAATGTAGGAGCTGGATTTGACGTGTGACTTGGGCCTGATGTACACCATAGAAGTTTACCAAGAAGTATCAAATGAAGGGCCCAGAAGGCCAAGACTAATGAAATAGGTTATATCTAAATCAAGCACATGATTACACAATATCTGCAATGGAACAGGCTGGAGCAGTGTAAAAAAGATAGCCAGGAAAGCAACAAATTTTGCATGCTCAGAAAAAAAGATGAAGTACACTGATTGCAAGAGAGATACTAATTTACAAGGAACTAGAAATATACTTGATCTAGGAAATGTTCAATTCCAATAAATTGTGAAGCAACTATCTTTTATATTATTTCAGTATACATAAATTCTAACCTTTATTGGCTCCCAAGCCTCGTGATTTTGGATGCCTAACCGCAACCAAAGGGTTGACAATACCTTGGGAATCTCTTCCCAAGCCCATGCCTTCAACAAAACCCATCTTCGCCATCATCTTTGATCCAAAACCTTTAGTGTGCTTTTCAAAAGCTCCGATGCTTTGAGGTCCCTTCCTTGTCGAGTTACCACGAGATTCCCTCCTCCCTGAGTCACCGCGAGACTCCTTCCTCCCTGAGTCACTGCAAGACTCCTTCCTCCCTGAGTCACCACGAGATACCTTCCTTGCCGAGTCATCATCAATGTTTGAAAATTCCACACCCAACCCAAGAGATTTAGGTCGTTGGACCACTTCAATGGGTTTTGACATACCTTGACCATCCTTTCCCAATCCTCCACCCTCTACATATCCCATTTTAGCCATCATTTTGGATCCAAAACCCTTAGTGTGTACCTCAAATGTACCAACCTGTGTCAAGCTGGTTGGGCCCTTACTTTCAAAAGTTTCACTTGTCTTTATAGAATCTAGTGTTTTGATCTCAACAGTTGCAGACCGCATAACACCACTCGACACAAATGAGACAGGCTGACTAGCATATGCAACTTTTTTGCCACTCGACAAAAATGAGACAGGCTGACTAGCATATGCAACTTTTTTCCCACTCCCTTTCTTCTTACTTGTTTCACCACTATTATTACGAACGGTCATATTCTTTGATGTCTTGCTCTTCTTTCTGTCTGCACTCGCTGATTTAATATTTGAACCTTTGTTAACAGCGAAATCGACATCCTCATCACCAGCACCAATCAGCTGAAATCCATAAATAACCACTGACTTAGCTTTACTACAGTAGCATACATAGATCATCCCAAGTACACAGTAAAACTCTCCAGATCAGGTCTATCAAGCAATAACAATAAAGAATTGGATATTAACAATAATATGAATGTAATTCAATGGAAATTTAAAACCTTGTCCAGGCGAACTCTGTCACTTGATGATGGCATGCAAGTGTGTCGTGTTTGTGTCACTGTTACATAACTGTAAAAACAAAATGCCAACTGGTTTAAACATCAACACCTTTTTTCCACGTGCTAAATATTGTTAATAAATAAACATATAATTTAAAAGAGATAAAAGAAAATAAATTCATGAGCAAAAATACACAAATCTGCATAATGTATCAATATAAAGGTGAAATCATATTACCTTTTCTTACCAGAACCCCAACAGCTACTCTGCAAGCGATATATTGAAGCTAATCGTCGTACCTAAAAAAGCCTAAAGTGCATCAAACATAATCCAATTGCTCATAATTCATTAGCTTGTTAATTGAAAAAAATCTTGTATGCATGCTCATGAAGATGTATTTTGGTTCAAAGCATGGCACCACTGGACAAGTATGAGCCCCAGTGGAAGGTTTTTTACAAATATTGAAATGACAACCGACTAAACAAGAGCAACATTGATTGACAACATATATGTTCTAGCGTAATTAAAAAAAAAAATGAGAACCTTTGAATGACATGGAGTGATTATCCAATGTAAAGCAAGCACTAACGTGCAGAAGATGGGTGGCAAACTACAAAACTCATAAAGTATGCCTAATTAACTTAAATATAATTGGATCAAATAATCACATCTACCCTATGAGAAGAGGTGAAACGAAATTCCATACCTGGGAACAATCCCGGTGATGCATAGGTTGAAATGCAAACATATCTACTCCATCCAAAACAATCTGCTCTAATATCTGCATCTCACAAACATGAAGATTAGTTCTTTTGACAAATAACATGGGATCATCTAGTTGGTTAATCTAATACTCAATTGATTGTCCTCCATCTACCTAGAAGGCATTTTGAAGAAAATGAGGTTATAGCTGGTAAGGATTAGATTGGAAAAAAATTTAGGTGCCTGCAAGAATCGTAAATGGGCCATCTGTTCACCAGGTATCGAATACAAGGAAGAAAATTGAGCAATTTTCTATTTTTTTGATAGGAAACAAATGTTCAAGTGTATATAATCTGCTCATATATAATAACTTCTCTCACTTTACAGTTTTGAATTAATCAGAACAACTGAAGCACTGGTGCAAACAAAAATGGGAATCACCACGTTATGGAAGATTGTGGTATCACATACCGAGTTTATTTGCTCGAGATCAACACCCCGACGTAGCATTCTCTCACGGCGTTTCACAGCAATCATTTCTTTTCGGTGTTTCTTCTTTTCACCTGAATAGCAAGTGAACAATAAGAATATATGATACATATTGAAGGCAGGCAAGTTGATTTACTACAAATACTATAATAACAAAAATGAATCACCAAAACCCACATACTATAGAATGGAAAACTCATATTGTTAGCCACCAAAAAACAGAAGAGTGACTTTTATTTGAACAATAAAAATGTATTATTATGAAAAAAATGAGTTCATTTATTTTCATTGTAGCAAGCTAGCATCTCTGTATGAAAGAAAAAAAAATCAGAATTCAATTACCATTATCAGATTGCATTGAAAATAAAAAGGGATATCTTCATTTCAGAATCTCTCGATTCTACATAATTAAATATATCTCAACCTTACACAAACATTTTTTTTTTTTTTTACTAAGATAAACAGATGTAAGCAAACTGTACCTGGATATTTTCTGGACTTCCTACTCTTTTGAGCCTCTCGAGGCCAAGACTGGGGAAGGCGAGGAGCATGCTTATTCTTTGCAGAAACAGTTCTTGGATCTTTTACAAGCATGAGGTCATCAAAAGCAGAAGAATAAGCACCTCTAGCAGCTACGGATTTTTTTTTCTTTGACACAGGCAGGGGCTTCCTCACACCATATTCCCTAGATGCATCTTGGAGAGCAATTCCACCCAACTTTTGTAAAGTATTATCAAAACTACTGCTGGAAGAACTTCCATCCTCTGATCCATTAAAATCCTGTTCTACCAACCACTTGGCATCTAAAACATTGTCACTCCCACCAATTCCCTCTAAGTAATCTTCAGCAATCTCTTCATCAATATCTGAATCACTATCAGACAAGTCTTCTGATTGATCACTATCCGAATATGACTCCTAAAATTCATCATCACATGAGTCCCCATCATTCTCATCATCACTATCCCCATCAGACATATCTTGGGTGTATAACTTCATGCCTCCAATTGACAGGAACCCTGAATTCTCCTTTGGTGAGACATTCTCATCAGGCAACTCTTCAGCCATCTCAACACCTTCCTCCTGACTTATGTTCTCATCAGTATCCACTTCCTCCTTGGAGAATGGTGAATCAGAACCTGAGACTTCACGCCCATCCACTTGCTTTGAGGATGAATCGACACCACTTGGGGTTGCCTCAGATTCATCACAGAATCCCAGTCCCCTATGTGAGCTATCACCCAGCACAAAGCCTGAGCTATAATCATAGCTATAATTAACATTATGAGGATCCGAAGTTGGAGTTTCATCTATATAAGCAACAATCTTACTATTCCTAGAACCAACCAAAATCATTTGCTGTGACTCATCCAAACTATTATCTCTCTCATTGTCCTCGATGCGCAGTTCCTGACACAAACTATATTATGAGAAAACCAAACATATCCAAATATTAGAGAACTATAACTTAAACAGTTTCATACAGTACAAAGCTCATATTAAAGTTATAGACTAATTAACAATTATAAAAAAAACTACCCATTTCCAAAGTAAAAACACAAACTGCAAACCGAAAAATGAATAATTTCAACTATTAGTCCAAACTAACTTAATTCCATACAAGCAACTCATCTTTACCAATAAAAAAAAAAAAAAAAAAAATTACTCGCCCTCAAAAATGAATTTTTTTCCCATTCTAAAGAAACATCCGGGTCCGAAGATATATACCTTAAGATCAACAGAAGGGTATTGGTATGCAAATACATTGCCATTAGACTTCCTTGATCCATTTTTAGAAGCAGAAGCTTTTGCTGGGTTCGAACTCCCAGATTTTAACCCAGAATTCGAGTTCATATTGGCAGTCGTTCCTGTAATTCAAGGCCAAAAACAAAGCTGAAATGATCCTTACCACCTTAAAATCCTGCTCGGTTTTCTCACAAAATTCAAGGGAAGAACAAAAATAAACAAACTTTCACTCCATTCCATAAAAAAACTTACTCCAGTTGAAATTAAACATGATATAATCTCTTCAAAACTAAATCATCACACTTAAGGTACGCTCATATTAAGCGCCACAAGGGTACATACAGTGTCTACCTTTTGTTAATTTTCACCATCCATGAACAACAAAAACAGATGGGTAACGAATCAAAATCAAAATTATAACACAGAAAAAGAGTCGGCACCTCGAGAAGGAGATTGAAACTTCTGTTGCCAATCAGACAAAAGACCTCCTTCAACAAACAAAGAGTTCCTTATTCGACGACCAGACGACGATGACGTGTCCGGCTTCCCTCTTCGTGTGTGCTCTTGCTTTTGTTGTTTTTTGTTTTTGTTTTTGTTGTTGTTGTTGTTTGTGGGTTTTCTTCTTCCACCGCCACCCATTGCAGAGACAGCACTCGCAAGAATCGCAAAACTTAAGATTCAAGGAAAGCTTAACCAGGAAGAGTTTGGCGAAGACGGTAAAGGTTAATGTGGGGTCCAGTGTGGACGGTCCCGTTCGTCACCACGTGTACTATCTGCAGACGTGCAAGGTATAGTGTTCTGTTCTTTGGGCTTCGTCTCGTGGACAAGGAAATAGGGCTCGGCGGATGAAAATGATATGCTCTTTCAGATTCGGATCCTCCACGTGACAATTGGGCCTCCGGATTACAATTCGGCCCACAGGCCCAACAAATTTAATGGGTTCATGTATCCTTTCAGGTTCGGGTTTGGGTTGTCGTTTGCTAATGCGAGTCCAGGTTTGACCCAAGTGGTACTCCTGACTCGTTTAAAAGGATGATATCTAGTGCCCTGAGCCCTAGTGAAAAAGAGTTACGTAGAGATGAATACGAGCGTTATCAAACGAGGCGAGTAGTATTACGTAATGATCATAGTTTTTCTAAACCTAACAAGAAAGAATCAGGTAAGAGATAAACCCGAATTCTATCAAAAAGGTGAATAGGACAATAAGTAATGACGTAATTCTTTAGCTCCAATAAAACTATGTAAAACTCAGATACTCAACTAAATATAAGTGGACTTGTAAGACAGTCTAAAGAAAATTTTTAGAAAATTATATACCGAATTAGTAGAATAAAATTGATTGCCAAGATGAAGAAAGCCTATAATACTTGTGTATGTAATTACACTTCAATTGTCAAGCAAATAATTTAGGTTGTAGTTATGGAATTTGGGTACTAAGTACAGTTTATTGTCTCATAACAAGTAATTAATTAATTATTAATTATTTCATTTACTCCATGATATTTGCACAAGTTATTATCTCTTACTGGATTACCCATCTTTTCATATTCCCCTCTTAGAAGTAACCTCCATGGATGGGTTCTCCACCTCTTGCTCAAGCATAATATTAATAATTAAATTTTTTTTTTTTTTTAATTCTTTGAGGGTATAAAAGTACTCAACTGATGTTCGTTGATAGCTCCGCACATAATTATACAAACAAGAAATATCTTAGAGAGTATAAAAAGTGTTGAAATCAAATGTAATTTATTTGATAATTTTTCATAAAATATTAAATATTTTACTAAAGTATGCTAATCCAAACATTTTTAGAAACATTTTAAATTTAGTAAGTAATAATTAAGCATATGCATTCATCATCTAATACTTACAAATAAAATGCTTCAAGTTAATCGTTGATACCAAAAAATTATTCTTATATAGAGTATTAGAAATTGTATTTGTCTTTATGCTAAATTAGTGGCTCGTTATAATATTATACGTGGTTGAATTCCCTTCTTCTTTGAGCTAGTTTTTTTGAGTGAGTTATAGCTTCCCGTTATATGGATACTTAATTTACTTTGAATTTTATGGTATATTTTTTAAATTGAATGTTATAGTGATGCTTGAACTAATTATCTCTCATTTTTTTGCAGTAAAGTTGGTTGGAATTTAATTGACATATTTCCATCTCCAAAAGTTATAAATAACAATGGGTCTACATGTAAAAATATCTTCAATAAATCTTTGATTATAATATTAAATATGGGGTCCAAAATGTTACACATTTATTGTTTTGTAAGGCTTTGAACTTTCGAGCTATTTTATTCTTTGACTTTTTAATAAAATTATATCAAATTAAACCTTCAATAGTGGAGGAACTCAAAGACATACAATAGCATCGAAGTTCCCCACAAAATTATGTCACACTAAAGCAAAAGTTAATTCTTGATAAACCCTTCCGGATCATACAAAGGGCATAAACCCTAATTAATATCTTAAATTAAGCTCCAAAAATATCCTAATTAATTAACCCACCTTAAACAGTGTTATGTATTGGGATTATACAAAACATAATCTTATAAATTAATTGATTAATTAATTATAATCAAATTAAATTACTTGTAATCGAGGCCAACTATGAGTGTCTTGTTAGTAACTTCAACTATAGTTTGTTCAACTATAAATTTTCTTCTTCTCTTTCCCTCATAATAAGCCAAAAATTTTGTCACGCGCATTTTGTCCACCCAAGCTTAATACATGGGTTTACAACAATTTCATCCTCAAGATTTGGGAGAAGTAACAAATGAACCCAATTTTTTTTTTTCTATTATATTACCTTTTGTCTTATTTATTCAATTATTTTGAGTATATAACTAGTAATATTTATTAACTGTTATGATTGGAAAAGTAGGGCTGACGCAGAGCCCTGTCAGCGTAAGAGGTCAGAGCTTAGGTAAGTCTAGGAGTTGTTCAGGTACAGCCACGTCGCGTGCTGATGCAAGAGGCGTGCTCCTGCCAATGCAGTAGGTGTGTGTCAGGCTGGTGAAAGGCTGGAGGTGATCCATTTGTCCAATCCCTATAAGGATCGAGTAAAATCACTCGGGCAGGTGAATAACGAGGCACGATGAAGGATTTGGACGGCAATCTAACCCACTCCCTGATTTAGTAATAATTACCTCAATCCATCCCACTATAAACAAGGGGCTCCTATTCCATTTGTGGGATTAACTAATTTCTCTCTGGAATAACATACTTATTTTATCTTTGTAATCACTTATAAATCAGCTCGCTAAACGCGACCTGACCTTAATATATTAATACAATATCAGTAGACGTAGGAGTCGCTTGTTTAAGTATTCGAACTACTTTAAATATTGTTCTCCATCTCTATCCATTCTCATACTTCAATTCGCGTGTGTTTTCTGAGTCAGCTCAGCATTTCACACGTGCTTTTAGTTGGTGTCAAAATCACGCATCAACATTAACCAATTCAATATAATTAAATTAAATATATGAATAGTTAAATAGTTATTTAATTTTGTACAAGAAACCAAAAATAAATTAAAACCTAAATTTAATCGAATTATATACATTAAAAAATGAATAATATAAAATGAAAGAGGAAAGTATAATAAGACAAAGGATATTAAAATAATTTCGAAACAAAGTTTTAATGTACCATTGACACTTGTCAACAGTTTGGGTGCATTTGTTACTTTCTGAAATTGTTGGGTGACTTGTAATTTTCCAAAACTTGAGGAGGAAATTGATATTAAAACACGGCTTTTACAACGCTGAATCCAGCAAATTAAACCAGCTTTAATCAACAATATAAATAAATAGCAATAACTAAATTATATAAGTGCATACCAGGGTCTAGCCAGGGTTCATAACTTCATTATTGCATGGCTGCCACAGGAGCTGCCGATGGTTTTTTCCGGTGTGTCTACGAGGGTTGCATCTCCGGCGGCGACACGGAGATAGAACGCCGGCCGTACCATCGAAATTGTGGATGTGCCCTCCACAGTAAGAGCAACAATAAAGGTAGGGGAAATTATATTTGTCCCAATGGATTGCCTAAGTGCAAGAATGTGTCTTATCCTATAAGGAGGTCTTGGAGTGAAGGCAGCTTGGTGTTGGCAGCTTCAAATTACTCTTCTCCTTCTACTTCGCCATTGATTGAGCTTGGAGGATCATCATCATCGGCGGCATCGTCGTCGAGGCCGCCGCAGTATCATCAACGACATCGATCGTGTATTAATGAAGAAGACCTTAAGGTTTGATCAAGTTTGAAGTGTTTAATTTTGCTGTTTTCCTCTGGTTTTGTAATAAACCCCCAGTTGATTTTGTTTGTTTATTCATGGAAACTAAGGATCCAAACTGGCTGCTTGTTTCTGTACTTGGTGTGTGTGAATTTGATTAACTTGTAACAATCAGTGTTCATGTATAAATTTAATAACAGGGTTTATGTATGTATGTATACATCTTCTTCTCCTTCTTCTTCTGGTTTTGTTTGGTTTATTTGATGAACAGTGTGAAGAAATTAATTTGGATCCAGTTGGCTTTTGATTTTATTGGCTGCAACTTGAAGAAAATTAATTAGCTGTAGAATAATATTGAAACGTGTGAGCATTTATTAATATATATTTCATGAATTAATCGCTTTAAATTCTGTAAAGTAATTGCTTTATATTGTAAAGATGAAAGCTTTACCTTGTGATTTTAGTTAGGTTTTGATTACATTAATTTTATTATTACTAATTGTATATACTAAAAATGAAACTAAAAGATACATAAATATGAATAACTATCAATCTAGTGACGTATTTGATCCTTTATAATATTCGTTTGAGAAGATTTAGATTTCAAGATTAAGAGAAAATAAAAACAAAAACGGTTCGAAAAGACATTTTGAATAAACGAATAACCTGTTAATAGTGCAATAGTTACAGTATAAAAGATAGCTGAAATGACCAACTGTTTGACATAAACTTTCAGATAAAGAGTAACATTATGCTTACAAAATCTTCTCACAAACTCTCTCTCTCTCATAATCTCAACGTGATAGCTCGCGATTGATTAGTTTGTAAATGAGTCTCATTTACTTGTTATATTATTTGTCTATTTATAAGTTACCACATCGAGATTTTGAAAAAAGATTATAAACGTAATACTTTTATTATAACAGTGTTAGTTTCTCCCTACTAAGGAGAAAAGGATTTTGACGCCAAACTTTGAGGGTGAAAGAATGATAAACTAAAATCTAAATGATTCAATGAACATGGGACGCACAATTTGTTGGCCCACATTTGCGAGCCATGTGGTTGACCGGTGGTCAGTGTCACTGTCTCGAGGGTCATGTGAGAGCGTCGTGGTCGGCTAGCTACCCTTACTTTGTTTAAATTTATTTGTTTTTTTATTATGATTTAATTACTTAGATAATATCTCCATTATTATACTAACAAAAGGGACAAATCTCAGTCCAAAGTTAATTACTTTTTGATTAATTAATTAATTAATTAAAATATGAAGCCGACCATTAATTATAAAAATATAGAATAAAAAAATTAATATTGCTCAAATTTGGTTGGCCACATGGGAGAACACATTTTGCCAGAACACCACATGACCCACATGAATAAGAATATCCAACATGGTGGAATGTAGATACATATATCTAATTTCTTTTTATAAATTTATGTATTATGATATAATTGGTAATTAATAAATTAAAATATAATCATATTCCAATCATGCATTGCCAAAAATTGTCACATATCATGAGTCGACATTATTTTAATATTTAAGTAGATCCAAATTTCTAATTTGTTAAAACAATAATATATTGGGCTTCATTTCATCCAATGGGCCGGGCTTGGAAACGAGTTAGGCCAGGCTGGGCCAGACCCAAATGGGTCATCTTCTTAAGCAACTAAAAGTTAATCAAACGTGGTTAATAATTTTTCTTAGTTTCAATTTTTATCTATAAACACAATTTTTTTAGACATCGTAATGTCTAAGAAAAAATCATGAACTATATGATGCGTAACAGATGCACATACAATCCATCAATGATAACATATGTATATGTTACTTGAATTGACGTGATATACATACTTTCATTAACTGGTTATACGTGCACTCGTTATGTAAATTAAAGACTTTTCTCTTATTGTCTTAAATCGAAAGAAAAGGTTTAAGCAATTTCAAACCTTGATGGAATAGCATTCTTCTCACACAAAAGCTACCCGAAAGCAAAGCCTGAAGAAACCTGTTACTGATATGAAACCAAGGCGAAATATTGATCAAAGTTTATATATTACTCAAGTTATCATGCATTGTAATACACTTAGAATTAATTAACTAAGTTTAATTTGTTCTTTTCATATTGAAGATTTCGCCCACCTAGTATACATTAATATAATAACACAAAATTAATTGCATGTTAATTATAAATTCTCTATAACGAATTACCTAGTGAAAACTAGTTAATTAATTATTCTATTGGACAAAACTATGCAAAGCTAAAATCCAATATTTCATATAATATGTTAAAAGTTATATTTGTCCCACATTGCTAACTTGATAGACTATCATGTAGAGATGGCAATGGGCCCGATATTTTCGGGTACCCGGCTCGGCCCGGCCCGAAAGGGGCGGGCTTTACCCGAGGTTGGCGGGCTTGGGCCTGGGCTTGATTTTAAAGCCCGACCTCGGGTACGGGCCGGGCATGGGTACATCTTTAGGCCCGGCCAGAAAATTTTAATATTAATTTTACTAATTTACCCTTATACTATATATTTAATTACAATATTATCCTATATATATATATATATATATATATCTATTTTTCCTAAACCCTAACCTCAATTTTTATCCCATATTGAAGGTTTAACATGTTAAAATTGTCTTTAAATGAGTTAGATGGGTTTGGTTCAACTTATAAAAGTGGATTTCACCATAACATATTATGCACAGCTGAAAAGTTAGTATAATCAATATTATGGAGTTTTAATTGCTCAATTATTGCTTAAATTATTTGCGGAAATAGCTTCAATTAATATTTAAAAACTATTTCTAAAATTAAAAATAAAAAAAATTGAAATTTATTAATATTTAAATATAAACATTATTAAAAAAGGCGGGCTTGGGCCGAGCCTATGGTTATAAAAAAACCCGTCGGGCCGGGCTTTGCCTATCATACCCGTAGCGGGCTCGGGCCGGGCTTGGGCCTATGTCATGAGGTCGGGCTTGGGCCTGGGCCAAGGGGTACCCGGTCCCGGCCCGGCCCATTGCCATCACTACTATCATGATGTATATATGTTGTTGGACTCTCTTCTTCCTGAAGTTAGTTTTTGAGAGTGATCGCTAAGTTGGTATCAGAGCCACGCACATCTCTAAGAGAGTCGAGCGTGAAAGAAGATATTAGAAGTTGTATTTGTCTTACTTCTTTAATTTGGTAGTTTTGACCAGTATAAATTCCAAATCTCAACTTGCTAAGTTGATGGGCTTGGCCCGTTTATCACAATAAAGTACAAATCCAAGTCATTAAATTTAGCTAACCTAATTAGTTAGTTTCTTCTCTATCTCACAAAGTCTCCACACAAAGAGGAATTAAAATTTTCCTAGAAAATTTCAATTTGGTTTCTTAGTGCTTAGGTAAACAAGAACCTTTACTAATTTAGACCAAATGAACAATCTCTGGATTTCTTCCACGTATCAAACGCCATGCACAATCTCTTACTCTATATAAATGGCACTAACTTTCAGAAACACACGTACAGTTTAATTCAAAGTTAACACATAAATCAATCGCTAGAGATTGTTGAAGGAGAAGAGAGAATTAAGCAATAGCGGGCGGGATGATGATACTTGGGGGTTTCATTGATACTGGAAGCTGCTTATCGTGGCGTGATTTGGAGATTGAACGGAGGCCATATCATCGCAACTGCAGCTGCGCATTGCACAATTTGAAGGGTGTTTGTGCATATAATACTTGTTCTCAAAGAAATGATATTTCATTCCCTTATAAGAAACAGGCTTGGAATTCTGATCGTTCCCTGTCTGTATCATCATCAACTTCCAAATTCTCTTCTCGTCGATCTTCTCTTATTGTTCATAAAACACTACTCCAATAGATTAACCAGAGAAGAGATTAAGGCAGGAGCTAAAGAGCTTTGAACCTGTTAATATTTTGTTATCAGTAGTCTACAGTCCTTCGATCTCAAATAATAATGTAAATTACACCATTTTTTTTCTTTTAAATTACATCCCTGTAAGCATTGTTGTCTTTCTTTTCTCTGCTACTTTTTTTGTTTTTCTGTTAAATTGAAGTGACAACAGGGTCGACGTTGAGCTACCATTAATTTGCTGGACAAATGATACATATGTTTGTGCATAACCACAATTTTCCTTCAATTTTTTTTTTTTTTTTTTTAAATATATAATTTTGAAGAAGAAGTGCCTGTCTATACATTCGCCACCAAATTAATTAAGTTTGTGAACTGGAATAAAGGATTTGGTGTCATTAGCTGGGAGAAAGGCACTGCATAAGGGCTGTAAAGTAATGGAATTAATCAATAAGTTTTTGGTACAAGCTCGTCTATGATTAAATTTGTTAGAAGTTGTATTTATCATATCTCGCAAATTTAGTGGTATGTTATGGTATATAAATGTAGTCGGATTCTCTCTTCTCTTGAGTTAGATTTTGTCTTTTTAACAACGAGTTCTATCCAAACTGACTTTATATCAATTATGTATCCAATTTAGTGGAATATTGTTATGATATATATATGTAATTGAAATTTCTCTTCTAAGATCTTTAAAATAGTTGAATTTAATGAACTGTTATGGTTTATATATGTAATTGGGTTCCTCTTCTAAGACCGATTGGATTTGATGAAGTTCTCAATTAGTTGTGTATATCATTTTCAATTCATTACACGCAAGAAAGCTTAAGTCATGAGACGATTGGTTAGATTTTATATAATGTCATTTATACATAATTTAACAGAAGAAAAAGTATATTTAACATGGTCAAGTATAAGGAATATTATAATTGAAGTAGTTATAGAGCGGTGAGAAATAAGACTTAATTGTTTACAAGAGAAGAAAGGACAGTGACAAGAAGTAAGCAAGAAAGCTAACAATGTAAATAATTAAATAGGACTGTGATTACTGTTGAGGATCTTGTTAAGATGAACATAATATTGTTTCAAATTTCCGCGACAAATTACAAATCATACTATATTGTCACTTTGTTAAAAATGAAAGAAGAAATTAAAAGGAGATTTATTGAACACTTTACAAACCCGATAAATCAGATAAGTTATAAATATAATATATGAATCAAGTAAATCATAAATATGATAAATAACCATTTTGTTATTCCAATACAAGACTTCTGGATTGATAAGAAATATGAGTTATTTTGTTTTATTGTTTATTAACAGTAGATTTGTCTTTTCATTATTTTCTTTGTTTAGCCTATATATATCTTTGTATTTAGGTTAAATCATACTTTTTATATTCAATTGAATTGTGTAGTATCAATAAAACCCTAATTTCTTCTTTTTTATTATTTCTTTGGATTGTTTAACATGGATAATTAAGAGTCTTGCCATTCCAACACAAAAAAGAGAATTATGCCTCAATTAACGGTTCAGTGAGTGACACCATATACTGATTTGACACTAATCTTTTACTTAATCATTTTTATTAATTTTAGCATAGAAAAAGCCCACCTATCGCATACACATATAACAACAAAATTGGTATCACTTTTAACAATATATGAGTCAGCAGCCCACCGGAGCAAACAATAAACTATGTTTTAACAATAACGAATTGCTAGATTTTGATGCGAACGACTCATACGTGCAAACTGTTAAATTACTTTTATAAATTATACGTGAAAGATTGGGATAATCTAATGAAAAGACCGAATAATAAATTAGAGGTAATTTTTAAAGTAGTTCAGATGCTTAAAACAAATCTTACATCCACTGCTATTTTATATATGAGAGATTACAGAAGGTCGCATATAGCGAACAACGAACATGGTACAATAACTAAATATTCAGATAGAATATCAAGTCAATCTCTTTCTCTTAGGTTATATTTGCTCTGAAAATAAAGATTACAATCAGAATAAGGTTTCAAGATCAGAATCCCAAAAATGAGAAGGGGAGTTCTCTATTTATAGTAGAAGAATTCAAGATAATGATTACAAATCTACAAGTAGGTAGGTGTCATGCAAGTCCTTCCTTACGTCCAATTAGTTGATAACTTAAGAAATATTCTCAAATTACCTGAAGCTTGGACAGATGTGCTGCCCTCAATCACTCATAGACAAAATCTGAATCTACTAAGTTAGTGACAATCATATTCTTCCTATTATAGAGCGACGTGACAACTCCTAGACGACGCAAAACCTTCATGAACTCTGATTAGTGCTTACTGATGTAAGCTTACATCAATCTTAACTTTTTAGGCATAACAGTTACGAATAGTGGTTAACGAAGTCCGTATTTAAAAAAGATGCATGTAATCATCTATGGAATTAAGAGACAATGTTATATATTTCAATTAATAGAAAAACGTGAAAAAGCAACATGGTGAAGTAAATTAACAATAATACTTTGGGTACTAATGGATGAGTACTAATATGTGTACTAACTAAAGCATAGTACCCGTACTATGAGCATAGTACGGGTACTATGCTTTAGTTAGTACACATATTAGTACTCATCCATTAGTACCCATAGCATCACTCGTAAATTAAGAACCATCTTATGTGCACAAATTGACACTTGAATGAGATTGTTTTTGGCATAGAATTACTCTCTCACGTACATAACAACAAAATTGTATCACAATAATTCTAACGGCCAGTAAACTTATATATTATTAAAAAAACAACCCTCAGTCGGATCAAACAATGCTCAATCTCCCATTTCTATAACGAATTCTCAAGCCGAGCCAAGCTGATTCATTGCATGCCTTAATTAAGATTCCCATTCTCTCTCTCTGTGCATGGTCTTAGTTCTCCCTAGGGAAAAATGTTTGTCAATTTGTGAAATTTTTCTTGGGGAAGAAGAAGAAGAAGAACCCTCCTAGACATCACATCTTCCCTTGAGTTTCACGGGATGAATTCTCTGCTACCTTACTTCCAAATTCTTCACTCAACAATAACAATGATTCCCTGCCTATATAAATGCTTCCGCATGCACACAAAATCCCAGCCTAATTATCAGAGGAGGGACAATGACGATGCTTCGCTGTGCTACTGACTGTAGTTTATCTCTTAATGATGTTGATTTCGAGCGGCGACCCTACCACAAGAACTGATGCTGTGCGTTGCACAAGCTAAAAGGAGTTTGCTCCGATGCTTGTTCTAAACAAAATAGTATCTCCTTCCCTAAGAAAAAGTCATGGCCTGATTGTTCATTGTTGTCAACCACCGTAGTTTCAGCTTCGAGTAGCTTCTCATCTCAAACTTTTTATTCTACTGACAGTACTCTACCGTCATTTAGAATCAAAGAGAATACCAATGGGGCATTGTCGTCAACAATGGCGGATCAAATTAGAAGAAAAAGGTTGGACATTTAGCAAGTTATCATGCATATATACCAAATTAAGTAATTTGTTCATAATACCCATTGCAGAGACTTCCAATACTCTGAATCTTTCTACTTCATCACTGTATAATCATCTGAGTTCCATGTAATTACAGGTGTTATTTATATATATATATACTTACTTCAGTAATTAAATGCAATTCAAAGACAACAAACCTCTACTTTCTCTTTCTTCTTCCTTTTCATAATTGTAATTTGTAACTTCTTCTTCTCACAATTTTATTTTGCGAAGAATGCTAAATTGGAATGGCTCACAATTTCAACTATGAGAAAGAAATACAACATAATGTAAAACACAATAGATGAAATTAGGGTTTGCTCATAGAAACATTTTTGAGAAAAACCAATACAAAAAGATAACCAGATCTCAGTAAGACTTCACTTCAAGAAAATTTTTGAAGTTAAGCTTCAATTGTATACTGAAACGACAACGTTCTACTAAAGCTTTTAACATATTTGATAACTCCGTTTTCATGTCAACAGATTTTCATAATACACTTTGAAAATTTCCAGCTTTTCATGTCAAAAAACTGTTACATGATAAAAATTTCGTTAAATTTCTCACTTGGATATTATTATTACATATGCAAAGACAAAAATGCTGTCCATTGCAAGGTTGTCCTATACTATGTCCATTTTAATTTCACAATTAATTAATTTAATTAGGCATATTCTATTTCTCAAATTAATTAAAATTTTAAAGCTATGATTAAACTTTGTTACTATTCCAACTAGGAAATGAGGGATCTAGATCAGCTTAATGTAAGGAGCGATTAATGTAAAACATGTACATACACAAAAATAAATAAATTTTCACCCTCTATATTGAAAGAACAAAAGAGTGTTTGGAATCAAACTAAAACTAATCATACACAAATAACGAAATAGTAACAAGAAAGAAACATACAGGGTTTATCTTGGTTTACCCAAAACTGGGTTATGTTCAGCAGAATCAATATTATTGAAATATTTTTTGTATCACTCACCAGGGAGCGAGACTCCCGAATGCATCGTCCCTTATAAGCGAACCCCTTATTGTTGAAGTGGTCGCCGATTTCTACATATGTAAGATTAAAAATGAAATAAAATCGATGATAAAAAAGAAGGAGACAATAGTAATTCTTCCCATTGTTTTCTAGTTACTTAATTGGTATCAATTCGTTATAGTTAGAGAAAATTAATTAAGTTAATTGACTCTCAAATCTCAACAAAGAGACAAATGAAGTTAGTTATACACGGCAACAGCATCTTAGACCAATACGTAGTTATTGAAAGTGAGGTTTCAAAGAATATTTCAATAATAAAAAATTCATAACCCAACAAGGCTATTGCCATTTTGTATTCTACTTAATTTTTTGTTTGATAATAACAATGCAAATTCAACTTTAGAGAATAGAAATTTCAGCCCTAACTTTCTTAATTACTTAATTACTTGACCTATTATTCATTGGAACAAGGAACTGCTTACAAGAAGGAGTATAAGTTTTAGAACCATTAATTAGCCTGGCTTAATTTTCACTAAAGAAGTAATTAAATTAACACAAAGAAAGAATTCGTTGTTACAAATTCTTGGGTAGTCCAAATAGCTAGGGTTAATTGAGTGTAGATTGATTTACGATCTCAAGTTCGATTCTCTATGTGAGTATCTATGACTTAAGTGGAACGTTATAACAGTGGATTACTATGCTAGTCTTTATCAAGAATTAATTGAAGTGCACGTAAATTGGTTCAAATAAAACAATGTAGATGTCTAGTCTTTGCATGTATGTATCAGATGAAATCAAAGTTTAACTAACTAATTAATCAATTATTAATGCAAATCCTTCGTTAGTTAGAAAAATATGCCTTCGGAGAAAACTATGCCCAACCATAATTAACAACCACACTCTCAATTTATTCCGTTAATTAACAACTATAACTATATAGAAACTATACCTTCCTAGTACAAGAAGGTAATCTCAAGAACAAGCCAAATTAACCACTGAGTTCATGCCTTAATTAATATTCGCTCTTTCTCTCTCTCTTTGCATGGTTTTAGTTCTTCTTCCTAGGGAAAAATGTTTGTCAATTTGTGCCATTTTTCTTGGAGAAGAACTCTCCTTAACATCGAATTTCTCTCGAGTTTCACGGGATGAACTACCAGACGAACTCTTTTGCTTACTTCCAAATTCTTTACTCAACAATAACGATGATCCTGTGCCTATATAAATGCTTCACATTCCATGCAAATGTTTCAAACTCAATCACATTCACGCTAGCTCCATCCTTAAATTATATAGACACCCACATACACACAATATCGAATATGGCCACCATAGCTACTGAGATGATGCTTCGCTGTGCCACTGATTGTAGCTTATCGCTTAACGATTTTAATATTGAACGACGGCCATACCACAAGAACTGCGGTTGTGCGTTGCACAAGTTGAAAGGAGTTTGCTCCAATGATTGTTCCAAACAAAACAATATATCCTTCGCTAAGAAAAAGTCATGGCCTGATTGTTCATTGTCAACAACCATGGTAGCTTCAACTTTATCGTCAATTTCCAGTAACTTCTCATGCCAAGCTTCTCGTTCTACTGACACAGCTCTGTCGTCACTTAGAATCAGAGAGGACGCCATTGCCAATGGAGCATTGCCGTCAACAGTTGGCCGGTCGAATTAGAAGAAAAAGGTTAGAAAATAAGTAATATGCATATATTATATATAAACCAATTATACTGTTCGTATATAATGTCCATTATAGAGATCACCTCCAGTGCTCCTCAAGATGATGATGATGATATATAATTGTCAAGAGGAATGAGTGCACTGAATTTTTTTAACTTTCACCACTGTATATTCATCTGAATTCCATGTAAACAGATGTAATATATGCCCTCTTTCTTCTTTTTCTTAATTTTAAGTGGTTCTCTTCACCAATTAATGATCCAATTCGAGTATTTTTATACTTTAAATACAAGGTGAAATTAAGACATTGATTAAATTTCTTCATTCATAGTTAATCATCTAATTATACCTATGATGAAAATGTTGGAAACTGAGAGGGAAATTCCTGCCGCCATGGAAAGTTTCTGGAATTTTTCCAGAACTCAACACTCTCCTTTGCCGCTGCATACTTTTTATTCTACATCAACATCTCCAATAACTACCAAAAACTGTTCATATATTATTAAATAAATGCTTTGTATTTTTACTTTGTTCATGCATGGTATATAAAATGCCAGTCATTTTCATAGGAATATGAACAAGTAAATTAATTAATAGTAAATATGGCCTCGGTATATTTTTGAAACCAACAGACAAAGATGAAGACAAAAGATCAAACATTGTGTTGTAGCATTGTGTTTCTACACTAATCACGGATTTAATTTTATATCCCATTTGTTTATTTTATTTCACGAAGAAAACTAAATTCGCCTGCTTCACAATTTCAAATTGGTCTTCGAGTTTAACTTTTATAGCTATGGCTATGGTAACTTTTATTATTTGTTGGGAGAGGTTATGAGCTAGCACATATTATTGGTCAAGCTTATTTTAACAACTGTAAAATTATTAACGTGACTTAATTCAACCAGCTTCCTTGTCAATTAAAATGAAAAAAATGAATAGGGTTTGGATAGAACTTACTTCCAAAAACTAGTTTAAGGGAGAAGGAAGTCCAATTACATATATATACCATAACAACCTACCAAGTTAGCGATACGAGACAAATTCAATTTATAACACCCTCTCTCTCACACTCGATGAGTAGGGCAATGGTTAAATTCAACTTCTAACACCTTCTCTCATGCTCGATGTGAAGGACTAGAGTCCAAATCCAAACAAACGTGGCTACAATCATACTTAACTACCTAATTCCAATTAATTATACTTAACAAGACTGAAATTTACAAGGTGTATGTAATTAATTTAACTGTATAATATCATATAAATGTAGTATACATGTCTTACTGAGCAGCCACAAAGTTTTATTATTGGTACTGAAAATCCCACACATTTGGAAGTGAAATTGTTAAATGTTCTTAATTTCCTAAGTCGCAACTTGACTCTCAAATAGACAAAAAGCCAAGTATAAATATTGCTAATTAACATGGCTTCTTAATGAAATACAGAATATTATAATTACACTTCAAAAACAAATAAATTTTTGAAAAGCCAATGTTGAAAAATCTTAACAGCGGAATTATGATTTTATCAAAAATTGGATTGTTATGTTAGAAGTTCTATTTGTTCTCACGTCACTAATTTGGTAAACTGTTATAGTATATATAGGTTGAGCTCTTTTATTTTTTGGAGTTTGCTTTTAGGCTTGAAGTTTATCCAAACCTGTTTATCATTCTAAATTTTTACCCAAGCGTGTTTATCATGCTAAAGTACAAAATTTCTTCTTCGAGAAATTAAATATGAATATATAGGAATAGACAAAGTTGTTGAAAATATTGATTCGGGTGTGTTTGTTTTTTTAATTTGAGTAGTATTTTTGAAATATTATTGGTAGGTAGAGTTGGGTGATTATTACAAAGTGAAATTTAAAAATTAACAAAAAAAACTCATAGGTTTGCTAATTTAACTAAACACTCTAATATATAATTTTTTTTGTAAAATGACAAAAATACCCCCACCTACCCACAGTTGCCAGATTCTAGCCATCACCATCAGAATCTGGTTGGAATATAGTGTTACGGCACGCGACCAGCTAGATTTGGCCGGTCGTGCGCCAATCTGGCCTTTTTCGATCTTTTTCCGACTAGATCTGACTTTTTTCAGCCAGATCCAGGAAAAGGCCAGATTGGCGCATTACTTGGCAGTTCTGACCGGCAGTGCGCCATTGTGACAGATTTTGGTCAGCACCAACGATGGTTGTCGGAATCTGGCAACTATGGATGGGTAGGGGTGTTTTTGCTAATTTATAAATTTTTTTGTTGGGGGTGTTTTTGTTAATTAACAAACCTATGAGGTTTAAAAAATTTTTTAATTTAAGATATGATTTTGAAAATAGAGAAACAAAGGCACATTTGTATTTGGAATAAGGATAGAATAGTGGTGAAATAATGAAACAAACGCAAAAGAGAAAGCAGCATAATAAAACACTAGACATTAGTTAAAATTTCAAAGCCACATAAGTACACTTAATTCGTTAACAATTAAAAAACAATTTATTTCAACAAGAGAACGAGGTAACTAGTCATTAATATAAATTATACGGGGTAATTAAAGAACAAGCTGTAAATAATTAATTAATTAACAATTAATCATAATTGTAGTTAATTCTATGTTTAAGAACTTGATTAATCAACCCAAAAACTGACATTAATTAGAGAATCCTACGTTGGCTTAGGATTTTGATTAAGATAATAAAGAGGTTGAGTTTGTGTAACTTATTGACGAGTAAATTAACCTTCTTATTATATAATTATAAACCGTTAATTAGTGAGGTAGAGCCTTGTATTAAGTGATATGCTATGCTGAATTGACACTTGAACTATGAGATCCTTTTAATTTTGGCTCATTGAATTAGTCACCTTAAACACATAAATACAAATTTGGAATCACAATTCGGATCAAACAATGTTCAATCTAATTAAAATTAATTAGCCATTGTCTCTCCCCCTCTCTCTCTGTGTGTGCATGGTCTTAGTTCTCCATAGGGAAAAATGTTTGTCAATTTGTGCCATTTTTCTTGGGGAAGAAGAAGAAGAACCCTCCTAGACATCGAATTTTCTCTTGAGTTTCACGGGATCAACTACCAACCAATTAACTCTCTACCTTACTTCCAAATTCTTCAGTGCCTATATAAATGTTTCACATTCCATGCAAATGTTTCAAATGCACTCACACAACTCGACTCAAAACTCACTACCTTCTTATATATAAGCGCATAATCTCAACCTCCATTAGAGGAAGGACAATGGCAACTATAGCAGTTGACATGATGCTTCGCTGTGCTACTGATTGTAGCTTATCCCTAAACGATTTCGATAAAGAGCGCCGGCCGTACCACAAGAACTGTGGCTGTGCGTTGCATAATTTGAAAGGAGTTTGCTCCAATGCTTGTTCCAAACGAAACTCTATATCCTTCTCTGAGAAAAAGTCATGGCCTCATTGTTCATTGTCAACAAACATGGTCGTCGCTTCAACTTCATCAGTTTCCAGCAACTTCTCATCACAAACTTCTCATTCTACTGACAGTACTGCTCTATCGTCAACATTTAGAATCAGAGATGATGCCATTGCCAATGGGGGCTTGTCATCAACAAATAGAAGTGGCCGATCGAATTAGAGGCAAAAAAGGTTAGAAATTGAGTAAATTCAATAAATATTACTGTTCATAACACCCATTTTAGAGACCTCCAGTTCTCTGAATTTTCATACTTCAACACTGTATATTCATCCGAGTTCCATGTAAACAGGTTGATATATATATATATATATATATATATACTTGCTTCAGTAATTAATTAAAATTCAAAGACAAAAGATTAATTTTTTCTTTTTTCATTTTCTTCTTAGTTTTGACTGGGGAGAAATCCCAACTTCTCTTCGCAATTAGCAGTTAAATTTCCATTGTTTCTTTACCATACAAGTGAAATCAAGACATTCTTTCTTCATGGAATCAAGCTATTTTCGGGCTGATCATTACACCCCCGATAACTGGAAAACTGACACTTTTCATCCTGTAACTACGGAAATGACCAAGGATACCTTCATTTTGCTATTAAAATTTATTTAAAAGTAAAATCTCACCAACAAAGATTTTTAAATTAAAAAATAATCACATCGGATAACTAGACGACAGTTCCTAATAAAAGTAATATATATTTATTTATTTTGAACTTTTTCTTCACTAATTTTTTTTGTATAATTTATTAATATAATCTAAAATTAGTTATGACTCATTTCAGCCAGCCCCCTTGTCAAATAAAATGAAGACATAGAATCAATTAATTAACTAGCTAATTCCAATTAATTATACTTAACATGAAACAAAACAATTGATTTAATTATAAATACAATAACTTTAGATCACTTACGCCGCATATTCTATTTCTAACATTATATATATATATCACAGCAGCAACAAATCGTTCATGGCCCCCCAAGTAAATCATAGATAAAGTTATTATCTTTATGCCCAGCGGAGAATCGAACTTAAGATTATAGATTAAAGTCATGTACAACCTCTTTGGTTCGCCCTTACCACTGAGTTACCTATGGGTGAGTTATTTGGGGTATATTTGAAGTTCAAATACCTTGTAAATTATATATTATTCAATGAAGGACGCGTTTAACATATAAAGAGCATAATGTAAGTAATTAATTAACAATTAATCATAGTTCTAGGTAATTCTATGTCATTAGCTAGTAATTAGAGAATCATATGTTGGCTTAGGATTTTCATTGAGATAATAAAGAGGTAGAGGCGTGTGGTTTGGTGACGAGTAAATAAAGCTTTTTATTATATAATTATAAACCGTTAATTAGCGAGGTAGAGCCTTGTATTAAGTGATATGCTGAATTGACACTTGAACCTGTAGAAATGGTCACCTACTCCCTAAAACACATAAAATACAAATTTGGTATCAAAATTTGCCACAAGAACTGCGGTTGTGCTTTGCATAATTTGAAAGGAGTTTGCGCCAACGCTTGTTCCAAACGAAACTCTATGGGGGTGTTTGTCTGAGCTTATGAAAATTAGCTTATAAGCAACAATTACTTATAAGCAAAAATTAACTTATAAGCATTTGAAATTTTAAGCAATTACGTGTTTGGTTAAAGTACTTATAAGTGACTGATAAGTAATTGACGTGTTTGGTAAAATGTGGCTTATAAGTATATTTTATTGTAAAATTACTAAAAAAAGGTACTACATTAAACAAGGACATACTATGGAATTTTAAAATTAAACAAGGATAATGTGGTAATATACTTGGTCAAACTAGCTTATAAGCAAAGTGCTTATAAGCAAAAAAAAAAAAAGTATCTCCCCCTCAACTTATTTTTTTTGGCTTATAAGCTCAACTTATAAGCTCAAAAAAGTTATAAACAAATAAGTCAGCTTAATTTTAGAGCTTATAAGCAAGTTTGATCAGCTTATAAGCTTAGACAAACACCTCCTATATTCTTCTCTGAGAAAAAGTCATGGCCTCATTGTTCATTGTCAACAATCACAGTCGTCGCTTCAACTTCATCAGTTTCCAGTAACTTCTCATCTCAAACTTCTCGTTCTACTGACACTACTCTATCGTCGACATTTGGAATCAGAGAGTATGCCATTGCCAATGGGAACGGAAGTGGCAGATCGAATTAGAGGAAAAAAAAGGTTAGAAATTGAGTAAATTCATAAATTCAATAAATATTACTGTTCATAACACCCATTCTAGAGACCTCCAGTTCTCTGAATTTTTATACTTCAACACTGTATATTCATCTGAATTCCATGTAAATAGGTTGATATATGTATATATAATTGCTTCAGTAATTAATTAAAAAAATATATTATTTATGTTGTCGGTTTAGTATTATTATTGGATGGAATTGGAATATGAGAAAGATGAAGACAAGATCACATTGTTCTACAGCATTGTATTTCTACACAAACCATTAATATCCCATGTTTATTTTAATTCACGAAGAAAGCTAAATTGGCATGACTCACAATTCAATTTAGTCTGCAAGTGTAAGTTTATACGTATGGTATTATAATTGATTTTTTATTATAGGAGTGTTTGTCCAAATTTATAAGCTGGTCAAATTAACTTAAAATTTAAAATTAAACTGACTTGTTTGTTTATACTTTTTCGAACTTTAAGAAAACAAAAAAAAAAAAAAAAAAAGAGGGTTGAGACAGGTACTTTTTTTTTTTTTTCCCTCTAAAAATATGAAAAAATATGTCTTTTATTGTATATTGTATACTTGTACAATGTCAAATTTATACAAAAAAAAATAATAAACAATAAATGGAAATACAATCTCTCATAATGATGTAATCACATGAAATCAGGGAAGTGAATGAAATGGAATATTTGATTTTAGACGTAATCTCAGCATTCCATATTTCATCATATATAATTATATATTCAATAAAGGATACGTTTAATTAACAGGTAAAGAGCATAAAGTAATTAAATAATTAACAATTAACCATAATTCTTTGTAATTAATTTTAGAATAATACTACACCAACAACTCTCTCTCACAAACTTTTTTTCATAATCCTAACGTAGCAGTTCATAATCGCTCAGTTCACAACGGATCTCACATGGGTTCCGCATGTGTTCCGTTAATTAATTGTAAACTAACCAATTGCGAGTTGTTACGTCAGAGTTGTGAGAGAAAGTTTGAGAAAAATGATTATTGATGTAATATTACTCTTAATTCTATGTAGGGAAATTAAATTAGCTAGTCAGAGAAACCGTTAATTTGGCTTGAACGATATATTATGAGATCCTGTTAATTTTAGCCTAGAAATTGTCTCCCACATTTTTAAACAAATAAAAACAAAATTAGTATCACAATTTTAACGAACCAGTAAACTTAATACTATTAAAAAAATAAGCTCTTATTCGGATCAAACAATGCTCAGTCTCCCATGTCAATAACGAATTCCAAAACTAATTAAGCCAAGCTAACCAGAAGAAGCCAAATTAGCCACTAAGTGTATGCCTTAGTTAAGATTCCCTCTGTCTCTCTCTCTCTCTTTGCATGGTTTTAGTTCTTCTTCCTTGGGAAAAATGTTTGTCAATTTGTGTCATTTTTCTTGGGGAAGAATCGAATTTTCTCTTGAGTTTCACGGGATGAATTCTCTGCTAGCTTACTTCCAAATTCTTCAAACAACAATAACGATGATTCTTTGCCTATATAAATGCTTCACATTCCATGCAATTGTTTCAAAACACGCCAGCTCCATCCTTAAATTATATATAGACATCCACATACACACAAAATTGAAAAATGGCCACCATAGCAGCTGAGATGATGCTTCGCTTTGCTGCTAACTGTAGCCTATCGCTTAACGATTTTGACATCGAACGGCGGCCGTACCACAAGAACTGCAGCTGTGCGTTGCACAATTTGAACTCCAATGCTTGTTCCCAAAAAAAAATGTATATCCTTCCCTATGAAAAAGTCATGGCCTGATTGTTCATTGACAACTACTGTATCTTCAGCTTCAGTTTCCAGTAACTTCTCGTGTCAAGCTTCTCATTCTACAGACTTAGAATAAGAGAGGACGCCATTGCCAATGAGGTATTGTCATCAACGTAAGGCAGGTCGAATTAGAAGAGAAAGGTTAGAGGTTGAGCCAAGTTACTTTGCATATATCACAAGTACATATTATTGTTCATAATACCCATTCTAGAGACCTCGAGTGCTCTGAATTTTTCTACTTTCATCACTGTATATTCATCTGATTTCCATGTAACTACAGGTGTTTTTTTTTTTATAAACTTGCTTCAGTGGTTAAACAAATCTAAAGACAAAAGGGTTCTTTCTTTCTTCTTCTTCATTGTTTTTCTCCAGAACAGTCATTCCAGACAGCGGTTAACTGAGGCGGCATTTCCTAATAAAGTAATTTATATATATAATTAATTAAGAGATTAATATAATCTGAATTAGTTATGACTCATTTCAAACAGCCCCCTTGTCAACTAAAATGAAGAAATGAATCGAAAAATTAATTAGCTATTTCCAATTAATTATATACTTAAAAAAAGGGTCATTTTACAATGTCCATATGTAATCAAGTTTATCTGTGTAATATCATATAATAATATAATATATATACCTTACAGTGCAGCCAAAATTTGACACCGAAACTGACAGAAGAGTAATATTATGCGTATTCACTGATCTTATTAACCTTTGTTAAAATTACATATGGTATCTATACTATGCTCGTGGTACTCGTACTATACTTTATATTTACAAAGATTAGTAAGATGATTAGTACACTCGTAAGTATGCATAGTAAAGACAAAGATTAATATTTCTTAGAGTAAACAACATGTAGCCACTCACAGTTTTGTGGAATTATAGTTTCCACCCCTGGTTTCATAAATTCTAGATTCCTACCCAAAAACCGAGACTGATAGTGATTTTTAGGTTCTAACACAAGAGTAGAGGATGCTATTTCCATATTGCCGTTGACAAATAAATTAATAATTCTCTAAATTAATTAGTAGAATTAGAAAATAATCATCTTACTTTCAAATTTATTTCAATAATACTCTCTTCTTCTACCTTCACATTTTCCTTATCTCCACCCACCCAAGCATTGCCACTATCGCCGCCGAGCAACTATTGAACAATATTTTGTTTTTTGAAATTCAATAAATATTCAATCACATTACGAACAACCTGTAAGCTGCAGCATAAATTTAAACTAGAAATTAATTAAACAAATAATTAGGAACCTTCAAGCCAAGAACCGTAATAAACCAAACCAAAAGAAGAAGAAAACCCAAACCCCATGGACTGCCATGAACAATTCTGTTTCTAATAATTGTTTATTTTATTTTACGAAGAAAGCTAAAATATTTGTGTGGGTAGAGGTTGTGACTTGTGAGCTAGCACATCGGTTCACTATGGCGGCAGTTCCTAATAAAATAAATTTATATACATATATATTGAACTTTTTCTTCACTAATTTTTCTGTATAATTTATTAATTAATTAACTAATTAATTAGCTAATTCCAATTAATTATACTTAACTAGTGGCATTTTACAATTGTATATGTAATTAATTTAAATACATAACTTACTGTGCTTCCACGATGTAGCCAGCAAATTTTAATAGTATGTACTGAAAATCCCACACATTTGGAAGTGAAATCGTTAAATATTCTATCCTAAGTAGTAGCGACTTTCAAACGGACAAAAACGTAAAGGGTAATTAACATGGCAATTACACACAAATACATAGGAACATAGACAAATATTTTGTTTGGTTTAACATTTTTCACTATCCTATTCATACTATTTTCAAAACACCAGTTTATTTCCCTATTATGAAAATACTATTATATTTTATTCAATTATTTTTAATCCCTTGAGTTTATTAATTTAACTAAATACCCCTTGAAAAAAAAAATTTAGAAATTGACAAAAACACCCTCACCCACCTACCCACATTTGTTAAATTTTGGCCCCCCCATCAAAAGGTGGCTAGAATTTGATATAATGGCGCACTATTGGCTAGATCTGGCCGGTGCGCCGATCTATCATTTTCCGGCCAGATTCATCGTGGATATTGCCGGAAAATGCCAGATCAATGGCCAAAGATCTGGTCGTTCTGGCAGTTGATGGTCAGATCTTTGGTTATAGCTGGTCATCAATGACGACCATATCTTTGGCCGTCAACGGCCAGATCTGACCGTAGATTTGACCTTTTTCGGCTAGATCCACGGTTTATCTGGCTAGAAAAGGTCATCTCGGCATACGATCGGCCAGATCCAATAAATTATATGCTAACACGACAACTCCAACCACCCTTCGGCGGTGGTGGCCAACTGCCAGTATTTAATGGGTGGGTGGGGGTGTCTTTGTAATTTTTAATGTTTTTATTACATGGGCGTTTAGTAAATTAACAAACTTAGAGGGATATTTTTGTTAATTTTTAAATTCTACCTCGTTATTCCCACCCAACTATAAAAATATCAAAAATGCTATTCAAAATAATAAAATAAATGCACCCGTAGGAATTATAGGTGAAGGAAACACAAGACATTAGACTTTAATTAAAATTTCAAAGCTAAAGACAATTTAATTCTTTAGCAATTACAAACAAAATATTTCAGTTTTAATAAGAAAACGAGAGAACGAGTGCTCAATGTAATTAATGTAATGAATTAATCGTAACTAATTCTAGTTAGTTCTATGTTAGAGAAACATTAGGTGGTCAAGAATCCTATCTTGGCTTAGGATTTTAATTATAATAAAGAGCCTTGTGAACCGCATTTTATTTTATAATTATAGGCCGTTATTAATTAGTAAGACTGAATTGACACTTGGAACTATGAGACGCCCTTTAATTTTGGCTTAGAAATAGTCACCTATGCCTATACTTTCTCAAACACATAGCTACAAATTTGGTATCATAATTCTAACGACCAGTAAACTTATATTATTATAAAATAAACCCCCCTTCGGATCAAACAAAGCTCAGTCTCCCATGTCATAATGAACTTGCAAGCCAAGCTGATTAAAATTTGATTAAGATTCCCATTCTCTCTCTCTTTACATGGTTTTATAGTTCTCCCTAGGGAAAAATGTTTGTCGATTTGTTGATTTTTTCTTGGGGAAGAAGAAGAAGAAGAACCATCCTAGACATCGAATTTCTCTTGCAAGTTCCACAAAACACAGTAGCTAGCTCCTTATATACACACACAAAATCTCAGCCTAATTAACAGAGGAGGGACAATGGCGACTATAGCAGTTGAGATGATGCTTCGTTGTGCAACTGATTGTAGCTTATCTTTTAATGATTTTGACATCGAACGGCGGCCGTACCACAAGAACTGCAGCTGTGCGTTGCACAATTTGAAAGGAGTTTGCCCAAATGCTTGTTCCAAGCAAAACAATATCTCCTTCTCTAAGAAAAAGTCATGGCCTGACTGTTCATTGTCAACGACCGTATCTTCCAGTAACTTCTCATGTCAAGCTTCTTGTTCTACTGACAGTTCTCTATTGTCTTTTAGAATCAAAGAGGATGCCAATGGGGCCTTGTCATCAACAAGTGGAAATGGCCGGTCGAACTAGAAGAAAAAGGTTAGAAATTGAGCCAAAGCTATCATGCATATATTACTGTTCATAATACCCATTCTAGAAACTTTCAGTGCTCTGAATTTTTCCACTTCATCACTGTATATTCATCTGAGTTCCATGTAATTACAAGTGTTTTACATACTTGGTTAAGTAATTATAGAAATATAATTCAAAGACAAGGGTTCTTCTACATTCGTTCTTCATTTTCTTAATTTTAACAAGAGAGAAATCCCTGCTTCTTCTTCACAATTAGACATTAAAATTCACAGTTAATCATGGAATTATATTTATTATGAAATAACTTAAAATTAATTGAACTAAATTGTTGATTCAGTAATAATATTGGATGAATGCAATATTGTAGTATATACTTTGTTGATGCAATGCATGGTATGCAAATATAATGCTAGTCATTTTCATGTGAATGTGAAATAGAAATTAAATAAATATATACAGCTTAGTACATTTTTGAAACTAAGTAACGAAGAAGAAGACAAAAGCTCAAACATTGTGCTTTAGCATTGTATTTCTACACCAACCACTGATTTTTGTCATATCCGATTCTTTATTTTATTCGGATACTTGATTAATTGAAAAACACTCATGCTTCTCAATACTTCATAATTAACATATAATAGTCAAAAGCTACTGTTATATTGGAGTTCCACACCGACTAGACACGCTCAAGCCTATTGATTTATAAGAGGGGATAATCTTCGCATTCAACAAGGTTTTATTGAGTAAGGAGTCAGACCCACCTCAAATTCTATCATGGTATCAGAGTCCAGGTTCAGTTGAGCTGAGTGCTTGATCAGCGGGTGAGGAGTTAGAGCCGACAACTACCTCCAATAACAGACATGACCCAACATATGGGCTTGACCGTGAGGGGGAGTGTTGGAGTCCCACATCGAATATAATCTTCCTATTCAACAAGGCCTTGTTGGATGATGAGTTAGACACACATCAAATTCTATCATTTAGGGCTGAAACAACCTTTAAATAGTTTTCCCTTAAAATCCTAATCCAAAAACAAAGGAAAAGAAAATTAAATAATTATCTCAAAACAGTACCAAAGCATCCAGAAACCGGCAAAAACAACCCTAAAAATTATAAAATGTCCATAAAACCCCTCAAAACGACCCCGAAAGGCTAAAAAATAACAACCCTTATTGCATAGACAATTTAGGGTGAGCATGGGTAAAAGGGTCGAACAGAACCGGCGGGTACCCATCCACCGGTTCCAGGTAGGAATCGGAATCATTAGGGTTTGATTTTGGTTTTGGAAAATTAGAACCAAGAATTCTCGGGTCCAGTTCTAGTTCTGGTTCTGGTTCCTATAGTACTAGAACTGGGAACTAGGAACCAGAACAGAATCGAGGTCCAAGTAGGAACCGAGACTAAATTGTAATTTTTGTAAACTATTAGGATGTATTGAATTTTTTGGGAGTGTATTTGCTATTTTTCAAAAATTAGGGAGGTAATTAAATTTACATGAGTACCCGGAACCTATGTTTTAGGTTCTAGTTTCGGTTCCTTCAAAAAATAAGAGTACATGCATGGAATCAATCACCCCTAATAAGCATGAGCTTTGTTCGTTTTGCCGTTTCAGAGTGCCCCATCAAAAATCATCATATTCTAACACTGTTGACACTATTCAACCCATGGAGCCCTGCATCATCCTACGAACAAAGCTAAACTCAATTATGCTAGCTCCGTCCAATTAATTATATTTAAAAAGAAGAATTTTATGAAGTTGCGTTTTGTAATTAGTTCAACTGTTCATCTTGTTAAAACATATATATATATATATATATGAATGGCTTGGGGATATTCTATTTCCAACACTAATTAAAATTTAAAGCTATTAAAATGTGTCAACAAGGAAACGAAGGAACCATTAATATGAAATATACGGGGCATATACCTTCTTAATCTAATTAATCAATTTACAATTATTAATAATTCTATATATGTTAGCCAGTGATACCAACTCAAAAAAAAATTGACATTAGTAGGAGAATCCAAATACGTATATTATACTGTTACTTAAAATTTTGACATTCTTTATGGTATATATGAGACTTTATATATACACTTTGTAAAAGTAATATTATTCTTAATCATGATTTAACAAGAAAATAATACAAAAATAGATTTTGACTATACCTATACGATTAAAAATAAGTATAAGAAGATGGTTAAAAAATAAGAAATCGAAGAGAGGAAAGGAAAGAAAAGGACATATAGATCCCCTTTGGTTCACTATTATTACCCTATCTTATCCTATCTTAAAAACCCAAAAATGTATTTGTTTCAATATTCTCAAAATTCAATTATATTTTATTCAACTCTTAAAATATTAATAATTATCTTTCTCGTAAAGATAATTAAATTTTTTTTTTTTTTCTAAAATATTATTCTAAAACGTATCAGAAAAGTGAACCAAACGGAACCATATAATTCTTTCGGTTGTTTTCTAGTTATTGAAATTAGTATGAGTTCGTTATAATCAGAGAACTAAGCATGCATATTTGCTTTGTTTCAGAGAGAGACGTTATTGCTATTTAATTAGTTTAATCAACTCTCAACGAAGAGACAAATGAAGTTAGTTAGCTCTAGATTCAAGAATGAAGAATAAATGAATGGGATTCAAGGGAAGAGATACACAGGAACACTATCTTAGACCAATACGTAGTTATTGAAAGTGAGGTCTCAAGGAATATTTCAATAATATAAAAATCATAACCCAACAAGGCTATTGCCATTTTGTATTCTACTTCATTTTTTGTTTGATAATAACAATGCAAATTCAACTTTAGAGAATAGAATTTTCAGCCTTAACTTTCTTAATTACTTGACCTATTATTCTACAAAATCAAAGTTATTCATTGGAACAAGGAACTGCTTACAAGGAAGACCAGGTTTTGTGGGAATTGCCTTATTTCTTTCCTCAAAAGCTTCGATCAATATCCTCTCTTGATTTTCATATTACTTAAGAAAAAAACAAAAACAAAATTCTATTATATATATATATATATATATGTGTGTGTGTGTCACGAGATTGGTGAAAGATCAAAAGAAGATCTTAATTCCTCTTAATATCATATGAATTTTTAGATTATTATTACAAAAGTTAAATCACGTTTCAATAGCAATGAGTTTATCTAATTTATGCGAAGAAAAACTAAATTATATGTATATATAAGGGAAGTACCAATCTCACAATCAACTTAACTCTCACTAAACAAGTATTCCTTCGGTGAAAACGGTCCATTTTATTGACTATTTGGAAGCCCTACATACCACAGTTCAAAGAAATTCCTCCGGATTAAACGAGGCTCTATAATAAGCCACTAATTAATTACCCAATGTTTCTAGGAGAAAACAAAAAAATCAATTACTTAATTAACTAAATTGCCATTGTTTATTAAAGTGATTTACAAATTAAAAGAATAATGTAAACAGTTATGAGTTAAATGGATCCGATATATCAGTGGAAATTAAGGATATTGGAGTAATTAGTTCTTGAAATTGGCTTAAAAAATTGGACAAATCTTGTTTGTCTTGTCGAGATTGCGAATTATAAGGATCCGATCATTATTTAAACTCAGATTCTTCATTTTATATATTATAGAAAACAGTCACTCATTCCAATATTCTCCTAACGAATTACTGTTTATGAATTCACCAAAGCAAAAAAAAAAAAATAATAATAATTGGAATCCGTTATACCTTGGACAACATTGTTAATTATATTTAACATTACTTGTTATAATTAATTAGAGCTATATATTAATTGAACTTTATAATATCAAGGAACTCAATAAGAGTATATATGATTCCTTGTTCTTATATTGTAGTTTCTTTTCTATATTTTACTGCATCCATCTCTCACTGATTTCTCTCGATTCTTCTTGAAAATTTGAACTCTAATTTATTTCGTGCCAAAGATATGTAGTTTGAAATTAATTAAACCATAATTAAATATTTAATCTTATCTATTGAAAATATTAATTATAATGAAAAAATTTTAAATTAGTCACGCCCTCATTTTAGGAACTATTTCACGCTTCTAGCTAACTCAAGAGATCATGAACAATTAATTTATTAAAATAAAAAATATTTTAATATATAAACAACCCCTTATTTGTCGCCAAATTAATTACATTGTATAATTTGCTAAAAACCAGCAATATAAATCACTCGAGATCAACATGTATATATTCGTATCATTATTCATATAATGTTCATATATTCATGGAAATTTGTGGAAATAAAATAATTTAACCACTAACCTTCAGTCATAACAATTTTGTTGTTGTTGTATTCTTCAAAAGTTACAGACTCTTTCAATGCACTGCAATTCTCAAAACAATAGTTTTTGGGAATCAGAATAATTGTGTTTGCGTGTATTGGGGACTTGTAACTGTTCCCCGTTTAAAGTAACTGTTAGGGATAACTGCTAAAACCTACTCGACAGTTTAATTTTTTTTTGATATATATATATAAATGAAGGACGAAATAGTAATTTTAGGGCAATAAATTTTAATTAATTAAAATTCTAACACAACTACTTTAGACATTAATATTTTAATTAATAAATCCCTTTAAATTAACAAATAAATTAATAATTTTCTCAACTCCTCTCTCTATATAAATTCTTCAGCTTCCATGCAAAACGAAACACACAAACCCATAAGCATACACCCCAACACAGAGATATTTAGAAGAAGCCAGTGGGGGGCAAATATGGGCGCCATTGGAGCAACTGAGATGATGCTTAAGGGTGTGTTTCATGGAAGCTTATCGTTGGATGATACGAGCATCGAGCGAAGGCCTTATCATCGCAACTGTAGTTGTGCGCTGCACAAGCTGAATGGTGGATTCTCCGCCGCTTGTTCTCAGAAAACGCATGTTTCATTCCCTAAAAAAGTCGAGGCATGGAGAGATCAGCGTTTGTCTATAGCAGCTTCTAAATGCTCAATTATCCAGAG